GTCTGGGCTCTCCCTCAGAGACGGTGAGAAGCTCAGTCTTCCGGGAGGGACTCAGAATAAAGCCGCTGCTCCTCCATGTCGAGAGCAGCCAGTTGAGGTGGTTCATCTGGTTAGGATGCCTCCTGGATGCCTCCCTGGTGAGGTGTTCTGGACACGTCCCACTGGGAGGAGACCCAGAGGAAGACCCAGGACACGCTGGAGGGACTATGTTTCTCAGCTGGCCTGGGAACACCTTTTTACAGAAGCTGAGCTAAATTTCACTGTTAGCAGTTGAGTCATGTGACACACAGCATTATTTTCAAGGTTTGATCAAAATATCTACAACTGTTTCATCAGATGATTTTAGACTTTAATCCACTTTTTTGATCTTTATATCATGTTATAAAGTCAGTCTTTCATCAAAAACATAGCCAGAGTGAAGCTTTACCACCTGCAGGTAACATAGTTACTGATTGTGGAATAGAATTGAACTTTGTGTCTGGAAAATGCATAATGCCCCCCTCCCCCATCAATCATTCAAACTATCCTTGTTTCCTGTAAATGTCTGTAGGAGCATCCAGAGACTGAACACAATGATCTGAAATTCTTTTATTTCTTTCTGTTTTTTTTAAAAATAATATCACGACTAATGTTTTTTGTCTCTAAAGCACCTGGCAACTTATTTTTATATCTTCATGGCAACAAAGAGCCTACTTAGAAGGTGAAGCACTCGACAGCCCCAGTGTTTATGTCATCAGCAGGTTGTCAAAGGAAATCTGCTCTCAAAGCAAGAAAAGACGATGTCCATTGTTGATCAGATTTGTAAAGAATACATTAAACTGGTTATATTCATGAATAAATGATCAAACAATAATACACAGCTGTCTTTCATTTAAAACAGATTTAAAAAAGGACTGAGTTGACTCCATCTYTTCTGAGATCAGCTGGCTGTGGCAGCCATCTTAAATGAGGACACTGTAGAAGTAAACCAGCTGTAGTGGATCAGTTTTTGCAAGTTTACTTTAAATCTGTCCACCAGTTTGACATATTTTACTRACGATACAGACAAACRAGCACATGCACACAAACAGGTAAATACATCACCTGCAGCGAAAACCAAAACTCTAAGAGAACTAAAGTGAAAACTTTACATTTTTACAAATTATTCTACTGATAAATGTGTTTTCTCTGAGATTTACTGTTAGACACTCAGATAAATGTAAACKTTTTGAGTATGTTGCTGTTTGTGAACAACTTATCCTGTCTTCTGTTGTGTAGGCAGATTTTTAAAGTACTGAGGGTTTGGACACGTGAGTTTTAATTWGATGGTAATAAAAACATKAATAAAAGCCTTTCAACYTCTCTCTGTATTTATCCAGTCAGTCTACAGGGATTAGACTCCTCTCCACACTGTGGAGGATGGGATTACAGGTAGAACATTGGTTTTGACAGCTTAATCTTAGTTCAGTGTGACAGAATGTTATWTTTGTTGAGCTGTTTGGAATGAGCAACAAACCTCAGGAGACTAAAACCAGTTGGGCATGTTCTTCTCTAATCTACAMGTGAATTACTTACCTGTGTAAAAAGACCAAACCCATTTAAAACACACACCTGTGTCCAGGTTTAGTATGTTAAAGTATGGAATCAAATGAAACCAGATAAACAGTTTCTGTGGAAATACTGCAGGAGTACCTGAAGAAGCTGAAACTGACTTAATAAAGCAAATATGTGCAAAAACCTTACAACCCCCCCAAAACCTGAAGGTTAAAGGTAGATAAACATGAAGACCAACAAAACACTGGCTTGATGGATGGATGGATGGATGGACGATGGATGATGGATGGATGATGGATGAAGGATGGATGATGGATGGATGATGGATGGATGATGGATGGATGGATGAAGAATGGATGGATGGATGGATGGATGGATGGATGATGGATGATGGATGGTTGGATGATGGATGGATGGATGATGGATGGATGGATGAAGAATGGATGGATGGATG